GCCACAGAACTTGCTTAGTACTGTGACATATTCAAACCTGCACAGTGAACTCAATCTGTCACTTCAGGGGAGAATGAAAATTGTGTGCAAGTCAGTAAATAAGGAGGCTACCTTCAAAGTCAAACTGCATTTATGGGTGTGACTGGTGAGTTTTGACATGTTTTAGACATCGACAGAGACTTGGGAAGAGGTTGAGACTGGCCCTTCTTTCTCCCAGCTGGACATGACTGAGCATTGCTTTCAAAGGCTGAGCACTGCTTCCCAACCACAAAAGACCCCTCAGCTGCAAAGGAGTGGGTGTGTGAGCCATTTGTTCGTAAGCCAGGTGAGTGGACTTTGTCCATGCTATAAGGGGACCAGCTGCTTCAGATCACAGATGGTGGTGGCTTTAAAAGTATGTTTGAGACACCTTCAAATCTCTATATGTTCTGAATTAAGGTCAAAGCAGAATATCTAGATACTGGGTCAAAAGCACTGAAAATCTTGCTTCTACTTCCAATATCTTATCTTTGTGAAGCACTGCAGGCAAATGCCTATTTAACAATTAAGAACATGTCAGGCAAAGAAGGCAAAGAAGATTATGGAGTAGACTGGACACACACAGCACACTTGGGATGTCACTGGCTCCCACCCCCCCCCACCCCCCGCAGATGGGACCATCTACGTGCAGAAAAGCAAGTTCAGGGATCCCCCTGATTCTGCACTATGGTGAGTTGTATATCTTTCATTATATTACAATGTAATAGTAGTAGAAGGAAAGCACACAATCAACATACATTAATACCTTGGCTCACAAACAGTTCCGTTTGCAAATGGTTCAGTTCCCAAACAAAACCGTTTGGCAAAAATTTTCTTCTGTTGCCAGTTTCCCCACACAAACACAAATGCAGCCATCTTTCCCCAAATCATAAAACAAATTAAGTTCACAAACCAAGGTACCACTGTAATGTGCTTGAATTCTCCTCCCCTGGAAAACTGTCTTCTGTGAAACTGGTCCCTGGTGCCAAAATGTTCGAGAACCCCTGGTTTATGTGCTATAATGCTCACAGTTTTAAGAAATGCTAACAATGCGGCCAAGTGTGCTGGTGCTCACCCGTGATCTCAGCACTCCGGAGGCTGAGGCAGGAGGACTGCCGTGAGTTTGAGACCAGCCTGGGCTACATAGTGAGTTCAAGGCCAGCCTGAACTACACAGTGAGACCCTGTCTCAAAAACCAAAAAAAAAAACAAAAAGAAATGCTAAAAATGCTTACTTGCTTCTCTGCAATGGAAAAATTGCTACTGTTTTTCTCTATTGTCTTTTATTAGACTTTTGTTTAGGGAAATTAAATCTGAGAGTGTTAGAGTGTACTTTAAGCATCTGTTCAGTTTTCTTTTAATAGTTTTGTTACATAATGTTGTTTAAATAAATTACTACTCTATGCAGTATGCTTTCAATTTTTAGAAGTCTAATTATCCTGGTATAATGCAGTCAGTCATGATTGTTGTCTTAATACACTGTAAAACTTGAAAAAAATATACTATAAAACTAAATTGTTTTTGCAAAATTGCTACCTTGTGTATTGTGCATAGTCCTGTAGGTGGAAACACAGTAGCAGTGCTCCTCTTGGTTAGTGGAACAATCTTCCTTTATAGATACTCCTCCCTCCCTTTCTATGCCTAGGTCAATGAATTGGTTGCTAAATGAGGAATTGTGTATACTATTTACATTACAATATTCAGAATAAAGACATGGCCGAAGGAAATTCCAACTTGATGACTTGGCATTTATTTGTACAGCTCCTATGTGGTGCTTTAATGTATAACAGAACATAGCAAGTCAGCAAACAGGTCAATAAACCAGGAAAGTTTGTATTATAAAAACATGTTCTTAATTGTTAAACAGGCATTAATTCTTGCACTCGTGTTCAAATTTTTTGCAGTTCTGTGTACCTAAGAAATTCTAAACTGGCGTGTAATTGCTAAGCTATAATTCTAGGTTTTGGCATAATTAAATAATGGGTTTTCTCACCAAGCCGCATTTCACGTGGGTTTGCGGGAGAAAGAGGACCCTAAATATATATACTTAGTGCACCTTTCTGACAAAACTAAACTTGTTTTGCTTGGGCCAGTTGGTTTTGTTTGACTAACTTGGTTACTATGTTTCTTAGTACAGCCTGGACTTGCTTTGCTCTTACTTTGTTTTTCTGCTTCCCTGTAAACTTTGTAACTATTGCCTGTCAAAGTTTAAACATTAGGGTGCTGTTTTCTACCCAGATGAGAATTTACTTGGCAATGGACTTTAGATAAATTTGGCTTAAGAACCACTATTTCTAAATCTGTTATTGCTCAAATAGCTAAACAGGGTTTTGTTTGTTTTTAAACATGGACTGGAATTGCCTGTCACTTCTCCAACATGGGACCTTTTCATTTCACCAGTCCTGGTCTGAGGGGGTCCCCCTGTTGTAGTCAGGGTTTAACAGGGGAAAGATTTAATACAGGACACATAATTCATAGGATTATTTTATAATATTCACCCACAGGCAAATGTAGAAGAGTGCAATCGGTCTGTCCACGCACTAGAGACCCGAAGAATCCAACCGAGGGCCTGGATCCCACGATAACCACCTCCGCGAGTCCAGCTCAACAATGTCTCATGCAAGTCTGTATCAAAGATCTGCACTGGGAAGGTCCAAAGGTCTGTGGTAGAAGCTAGAAAGCCTGTGCCAGCAGGATGAAGGACCTGTGCCACCAGGCTGAGGAATCTGTACTGGAGCCAGGAAGCGACACTCAAGGTAAGAACCAGAGCTCCCCTGAAGAGAACTGTAGCCATTCTCAGTGACAGCAAGGTCCTGAGCTCCTCTGATGATGAGAACAGCCAAGTTTGTATCAGGAAAGCCAGCATGACAAGCTTCTCCGGGAGAATCAACAGCACCATCTTCCTCTCCAGTTCTCCTTTTATGCTGTTGGCATCAATCCTCAGGTGGGCCTTCCACGCCCAGAACCACACTGACTCAGCTCAGCTGGGTGTTACAAGTTGAACATTAGTTAATCCACCTGACCCCCAAAAGATAGGTTGTAGTTCTGCTGACTTGTGCCACGGGAGAGAACTGTAGAATGAGACTCCTCAAAGTGTTTATTAGGCAGAACCAAAAAAGTACACACTGAGAGGCAGTAGAGTAGACGCCCTCAAGGGAGTCACGTTGTTGTCAGGGGTGTCCGGGGTGTGCGGGTCACCGGCTCACACTCACGGGTTGGGTTAGAAGGCAAGCCGTTTGCATGGGTGTGCAATTTAGAGCCGCTGCGCATCCCCTTGTGTTGCTTCCTGGAGGCTGAGAATCTAGGAGACGAAAGAGGCTCAGCAATGGCTGACAAGCCTGGCCCAATTTACCGGCTTACCACATCCTCAAGACCCTTCAAATAAGTTTTCTTGAAGTTTCCTGGAAGGGGAAAGAAAGGGCATTTTAGCCTCAGGGTACTTTGTGTCCTGAAGCTGCAGTTTTTCTTAAAAACACAATTTAAAAATTATTCTTTCATTCCCCCCTCCTCACTTCCTCCCTACCTCTCCCCCCATACCCAGGGTTGAACCCAAGGCTTTTGCACTGAGCTACATCCCCAACTAACACTTTTTATTTTTTAAATTTTCAGGCAAGACCTCTCACTAAGTTGCTAAATTACCTCTCTTTATGTCTTTGGTCCTACGCTGTTCTTGGTATCTTGGCACCAAGGGGGAAAAATATAATCGGAGCATCAGAAGGAGTCACCTTTGTCAACCCTAGCAAGTAATAAAGAGCCACAGAGGTTATAAGAGAAGGGTTCGCATGCATGATTGCCTAAAGCAAAAAGCCTTTCCAGCGGGAGGTTAGCTAGCTCCTGACTTTGGCTTGGGCCCCACAATCTCTAATGGTGCTCTATTCAGCCTAAACATCTGCCTTCCTTCCTTGGGCTCCGTCTTTTGATGGAATCCACACACCAATCAATTAATAGCCAGCCAGATGACACAGCACCTGGAGGCCCTCAGGATCAAGGACTGAACTAAACCAAGGCAGCGACGGTAATCTACAGGATAAAATAGCTCTTCAAAACGTAGGACTTTTTTTTTTTTTTTTTTTTTTTTAGAAATAGGCTGCTAACCGGGCCTGTAATCCTAGCACTTGAAGAAGCTGAGGCAGAAGGATCAAAGCAAGGTCTAGGCCAGCCTGAACTACACAGGGAGACCCTGCCTCAAAACAAGGAATAGGCTGCTTCTCTAACTTTCCTCTCGCTGGCTGAAGCCTCAGACCCACCCCGACTCACCCAGGCCTGACAACAAGGAGGATTCTGTACTTTCAGCCCTCTGGGCCAAAGCTTGGCTACATCTACGCCCTTACACTTCCTGGCTTTTGTTTACCCCTTCTATAAATTCGAGTGCATCTGTGCCTTGCGGTGGGAGTGAGGGGCAGGAGAGCTGCGCTCCCCACTTTGGCCAAATTGTGAATAAACGCATGTTTCCATTTTCCTGGGCTTTTCCCTATCCTTGGCTGCAGGTGGGCAAATGAACCAGTAACCCCGCTGGCACCAACAGGAGCGCTGAAGTACATCCCTCCCCAAATACACAGATTCCAAGGACAGATGGAGATTGGCGGCGACAGAAATTCCAAACACTGAAGCAAACCAGCCGTGAAAATAAGGGGTTTCGTTAATACCGGGACGACTAAGTCGTGACTCTACAAAGAGGTCTGCAACGCCGTAATTTGGGGGATAAAAGTAAGACGCATGTGCAATTTACAAACTCCCTCTTTCGGAAATCTCTAGAACACCCTTGCGTTTCGTGGTCACACTCGGCCGTGCTCCCGACAGGCGCCTGTCCCTTTAAGAATCTGGTCGAAGTCCTTTTCCTCTCCCGGCCCCACCTCCCCGCGCTACCGGCTTAGCCCGAGCGCCCGCCCCTTTCTCCTCATGCGGCTGCATTACGGGTTCGACTGCCCATCCGTCACAGAAGCACCACCTCTGATTGGCTGCTGGGGCTTCGGGCCGGGAGGTGGGACGGAAAGGCCGGAGAAACTAGTTTGTCGGCGGTTCGGCGGCGGGAGCGCGTCCGGGCTGAGGCGAGCCGGCTGAGGGGCGGCGGCGGGCGGAGAGCTGAGAGCTCGCGGGGACGACCGGGGCTTTGTGAGCGCGGCGGGCGGCGGCGCCCC